AAAAAAAAATAGGACAATATGCTAAACAAATCAGGAGAAAAAATTTAATAATTCTACCCTGACAAAGGAGTATTGTTAATATTTTGGTTTTATTATGCTTTTAGCCACAATTAATGATTAACTTTATTTGAAACCATATACTTGACTAGTTAAAAATTTGTATACACACACACACACATATATATGAATTGCTGTTATATAAATGTGTTTACAAAAATAATCTCTTTTACTTTTAAGTGCTATAATATTTTATTAAGTTGTTAGGAATCTTAGTTATAGTATTAATATTTGCAGGAATTAAGCTTATGTCATAAAGAAAAGGAGCGACTGAGTGATGAACTCCTTATAAAATCAGACCTGGAAACTGTTGTTTATCAGCTTGAACAAGAAAAGCAAAGACTTAACAAAAAAATNTGTTGGCTGGGTTATATAATGGTAAATAAGGTGCACAAGGTCCCTGCTCTTGCAGAGCCTTTTTTCTAGTTAGTTAGGGAGACAAATTAGTGGTACATAAGTAAAGATTTTTATTTTAGGTCATAAGCGGTATTAAAATAGAATGAGAGGATGTGCTAGAGATTGTATGATTTAAGAGCTCAGTGACAAGACACCAGCTATATGAAGATTTAGGGGTAGAGTTTTCCAGGAAGAGGGAATGGAAAGTGTAGAAGCTTGGTGCCATCAAAGTGTGTGTGTTTTGGGAAGTGAAAGAAAGCCAGTGTGCTGTATTAAGAAAAGACTTCATCCTAAGGCCTTCAACATCCTTATTGATAATCTTTTTGACCCCCTTCTCAACTTATTAGGTGTATAACTTGAGCTTGTTACTTAACCTTTCTATGGGGGTAATGATGGCGCCTACCCCAAAAGGTTGCTGTCAGGATTAAATGGGTTAATATATCAAAATGCTTAGAACCGTGTGTAAGAGTTTGCAATTAAGAAATCCTTAAGGGAGTCCTACATCTGGAAGCAGAGGTGATAACTACCATCATGAAAACATGGAAAGAAGGAAAACTCATTGGTAGAGCAGACACACAAATAAGAAAGAG